TCTTCTCAGTCTGATGGGAGAGTAGCATCGTTGTCTGCAAAAGGTATTCCACCCTTGTTTTCCCTGCTTTGTAGTTATACTGAGGATAGCAGATTTCTTTGCAGCTCTTTGACCTTATTTCATGCCTAGTCCATGCACGCTTCTAAGTATGAATTTTGGGGCAGTGTCTGCTGGCTTTTTGATGACAGCTCAAAGGAGCATGTGTTGCCCCAAGTGATTTGCTTTGCTCACTTTGTACCTGTGATCTCTTAACACGCACATTCCCTCTTTCTGTGTTTTTTTGGGTCTAGTTCTACATTTCTCCTTTCACCTTTGTGCTGTTGCTGCAAGCACCGTACAGCTGCTTAACCAGGAACAACTGAGGCTGGCTGGGAGGATGTGGAGGCAAAGGGTTTATATTCCAAAGGCTTCACTCTGCTCTTGCAACATCACCCCAATCAATGTTGTTTGAAATAATACTTTGAATTCTCTTTTTTTTTTTCCGCAAATTCTTTGGCTTGAGAACAGGGAGATCAGCCAAAAGGGAGGAACACTTCTGAAACTCAGCAGGCAGTGCCCTCTGGATGCATGTGTACATTGCAAAGTCATCAGTCATTCAGTTGTTGACTCAAAGTTATTCTGGTTTTCTAGTGTGCTTGTTCCCTGCTGAGTTAAAGCCACAGATGGCGAAAGTAAACTTGGCACTTCTCAGACTGTAGTCCTTTCCCAGATTTTATTTGTTGCTGTCTTTTGTGGTTTGGTTTGACTTTTAATTTCCTTGGGGATGCTCTACAGATGGAGAAGGTAATGCTCCAAGAGTGAATTTTGCCCTGATTTCTCAAAATTACTTCTGATGGGAACAGTAGCATTCATTTCTTCTTTTGTGTCGTCACTGACAGCCAGAGCATGGTTTCTTCTGGGAAGCAACACAATCTGGAGAAGAAGCTTTAGCTGATGCTTTTCTGGGATGTAGGTGTGTGGGATGGATGCTCAGTGAGGTCTCTGAATACAAATGGAGCCATGTGGGACTGGCTAGAAGTGTGATGGGAGGGCAGAAATAAAGCGTATTGCTTGTTATTATAAAAGGCAGTTGTTAAGTCGGAAAAAGTGATCTGCAAGTAGTTGTGATGCTCGTTCTGGATGTATGGGATTGTGCTGAAGTAGAACAGGCAAAAAAACCTGACTCTTAGCCAGGGGTTCTGGTATTTAATACATCATCCCAAACATCATCTGGGCTGCATTAAGGTGCAACTGCATCTGGTTATCCCCTCGCTGGACTTGGAAATGAGCTGTTTGCTTGTCTGCTGTGTTTGCAGTCTGTGTGCTGTGTTTGTCTGCTTCACACGCTCACTCTGCAATTTGTAAAGGGATTTTTATAATTGGCCAAAGAACATTTGAAATTATTTTAAGCTTGTAAATTTGTACTGAGCACCTTAGAGGCGGGATTGTCAATTGGCCTCTTAGGAGACTGTGTCTAGTGAGAGGGAAAGGGGAGACAAACCCCTGTGTCTGAGCTTGGCGTGTCCCCCCTGGCTGGTGCTGGCTGAATCCAGAAAGGCTGACAGGTGCTTTGGAAGAGGTGAGAGGCATTTACTGGGATTTAACTTTCCTCTGGAGCTGTTGTAGTCAAGTGGGACCGAAGTCCGAGATGCTGGGAAGAACTTTGGGTGCATTAATGTAGTTGGGGATACAAAGTATCTCTGTGCATAGGGGACGGACAGCTGTGTTAATGCAACAGCTTCTAGATGCTGATCAACATCTGGTCTCAAAAATATAGGTAGTTCTTGGGTCAATTGAGATTAATTAAGATTTTAAGTATAATAGTTGTATTTATACATAGATATAATGCTGCTATATCTGCATTTCCAAAATGCAATGGAAAATAAACGGGACCTACAAGAAAGCTGGAGAGGGACTTTTTACAAGGGCAAGTAGTGATAGGACAAGGGGCAATGGCTTTAAACTGAAAGAGGGGAGATTTAGATTAGATCTAAGGAAGAAATTCTTCGCTCTGAGGGTGGTGAGGCACTGGAACAGGTTGCCCAGAGAAGCTGTGGATGCCCCATCCCTAAAAGTGTTCAAGGGCAGGTTGGATGAGGCTTTGGGCAACCTGGGGTAGGGGAAGATGTCCCTGCCCATGGCAGAGAGGTTGGAAAAAAATGATCTTTAAAGTCCTTTCCAACCCAAACCATTCTATGATTCTATTATAAGATGTTTATTCTTTGGGGATTGGTTAGTAGAACTACAAAGATATTAGTAAAGGTAGGAAAAAACCGCTCTAGTATGAGAGAGAGCTCTGTGTTTGTATTCATTGCTGTACTGTTTTCTTAAAACAGTTAATGCATACGTTATCGCACAGCAAGTTAATTCTTAGGATCACTTCTTAGGCTATAAAATACTGCTTCTTATAAGCTTTTTACCTTGAAAAAGGACAGCAAACATAAGCTGGACTCGTAATGTATTTTTTTTCTTTTTTTTCTGTGGGTCAAGTACTGCTTGGTGAATCTCTGCTTGTGACCTGTAAACTATACAAAAAGTGTAGTAATTTCTGCACAATGTGGTAGGAGTGCAGGTTGACAAACGGTGCTCTGAGTGTCTTGGTGAGGTACCTATAGCGTCTGAGAGGGAACCCAAATTGCTTGCTTTAAGTTGAAGGATTCAGAGTTTAAAGCAAACTTTTCCTGTCTGTAAGCAATAAGGATCTGTCTGCTCTAGGAAAATCTCTTGTGAATAGAGTATTTCACATATTTCCTTACTCCCAGTCTTGTCAACTGGAGTTTTCAGTCATTAAACTACAGCATATGCTAAAAGTGACAGCAAGAGCATGCTAAAGGCTAAAGCAAACTTGTGGAAATGTCTTGTGATTCAGAACAGTGGGAAAACTATTGAAGTTATCTTAGTTGAATAACACAAATTCATATTGCCAATTCCCTGCTGAAAACGTGGGCTGCTTTCCTGAGCAGCCAATGCCTGTGTGCTGTGTTGCAGGGGCTGCAGTTGTGTATCGCACAGGCGACCTCCTCTCGTGTGCTGATCTTTCAGCTCCTGCTAAGGTGCACTTGGAAGACCAAGTGATGAGAAGGAATGAGCAGAGTCAGTCTGCACAGTGCGCGCACAGCATGAGACGGGAGAGAGATCCCTGCGAAGATGGTGCTGGCTGGAGACCAGGTGCAGTCTCTGGTACGGAAGACTAGATGGGGCCAGTGAGCTGCCTTTCCCCAGCAAAACTTCTATTGTCAATCAGACTTGGAAATATGTCCAGCTGCCAGTTGGGATGACCCAGGCATGCACTTTTGGCTGCAGTGAGAAACCTGCTCACACAAAACAGGTGTGATGCTGTGCGTGCTTGCTCCAGGGAGAATGCTGCAGAGGAGTGCATGAGCTAAGGTCAGCCGTGCAAGTACAGTGCAGTCCTTTCGGGCTTCCCTGCTCTCTGGGAGAGCAAATGATGTAGAAATGCTCCACCTGTTTTCAACAGGCAAAATAACTCTTTCTACTAGAATAAATCAAAGGGCAGGAAGGGGGCTTTGAGTTTCTTAGGGAACTTGTAGGGACTAGGGATGCTGAATTTGAGACACTGCATTTTAGTATCAATTTTTGTCCCCATCTTTGACTCTTGGATAGTCCAATGTGGACCTGTATCTTGTGTGTCCTCTGCAAAGCTTGGAGTAGCTGTTTATACTTCACCCTTTTTCAGGCAGGGTGGTTTCAAGGCAAAAACTCTGTCACTCTGGGGCTTTAGGATGTAGACTAAGTAGGAAAATATGGAAACAAAAGTTTCATGGTATGAAGCATCAAAATGTTGCAGTATGGGAGTCAAAGCTGATAAACGTTATCTTGGACTGTCTTGGAGGAAAAAAGGCTCTTACTCGGATTCTTATTCACAAGCATGGTTGGGACTGGAGTTGAGAGCTCAGGGCGAAGCTTCTTGCATGGATGGCTAAGTCAGGGTCTTACACGTGTTACTGGTGACTGCTGGATGCTTTTCACTGTACTGTTTATACCATTCACATGTCCTACTCCTTCTGTATTGTGAACTGCCTTTGCGTCTTCAACTGCGGTCATCACATACACCTCTGAGATGTCATGCAAAGTTGAATCTCAACACTCTTTGACATCTATGACATTTCTGTTCATAACTGCAGGATGAGGACAAAAGCTTGCCTCAGTGGTGAGGAAGACAGTTGCCCTCAAAAACTATTTAGGGAAGAGACTTACAATTGGTCTGGTGCAGGCTGAACTGTTTAGAAGGTCATATAAATCTTGAAAAAGTCTTGGAAACGAGATAGAAGCTGATGATCTACTCTGAAGTCAGTGGGAGCTGCTCTAGTGACTTCAAGGATGAGTGCCTGTCTGTTGGGACAGTCTCATGTGTGCATTGGTAGTGAAGAAAAGACAGTCCCCATTTATTGTTTTATGTGGGGAAATGAAGGCTTACTGTGGGTGTGAATCTTCTTCAGTAATAGCTGATGTGTCTGTGTAATGTCTTGGAAAAACTGAAATATTGGCTTTTGCTTTTTTTTCCAGTTGAAGTTTCCTTTAGCTTTTTGCAACGAGCAGCAGCAAATATCAAAGCAGCAATCAACCAAGATTGATGCTTGGTTTCGATTGACTTGTAAAGGCAGAGCCAGGACTATAGTTCCTGTATTATCGGTGTGCTCAAGCTGGTGCAGACCCTTCTGCTGAGCCTGGAAACAACATTAAATGTCCCAGAGTGAGTCAAAAGTGAAGAAGAGCAAAGTACACTTTCTAAAGAAAGAGCCTCTCCGTGAATTTGGGAATGGTCTTTTCTCTTCCTGTCTTTGCCTAATTGCCTGTATGTTTTGTGTAATGATACTTGCCTGCCTTTTGTACTACTTTTTTCTATTCCTGGTGATAGGAGTGTGTTTAGTAGAACGCTTACTTGATATAAATTGATCTTTTTTTTTTTTTTTAATAGGTATATTGCAGTGGATCTGAAAGTGATATAAGACAGAATTGCTCCTGGGAAGAGAAGTCTCCCTGCAAGGGCAACCCTGAAGATGTGGACTGCCATTGTATTCTCCCTGCTGATTTCCTTCTGTATATGTGAACACAGGTTTTCTGTCCTGAAAGGGAGAGGAGTCCATGTACTGCGAATAAACAGGCTTACAACTGAAGAGGAGTGCAGGCAGGCTTGTCAAAGCTCAGGTGCTTCAGGTGAGGTTCTTGTCCCTTAGCTGGAATTCCAGCTGGGTTTTCTGTTCTTTAAAGGTCTCCTCTGCTCCCCTGACAACTATCTTTCATGATTTCAGTTGTTTAAAGGCATTTGCAGTTATGGCTTCTCTGTGCAGTCCTGTAGTGCTAAATAATTTCTGACAGCTTTGGTTAAATTGAATCCAGAACAACTGTTTCCCAGGGCCCTTCCAGCTTCCATAAGAAACAGCATGCATGTGCACTTGATGTGCACTGGTAGCGTGCAAACGGTGTTAGGTCACTTGACTTGAAGAATGATTATTCCATGCTGCCAGATGTTTGCAAGTGAGCAGTGCTGTTGTAGACAGCTGCACTGGAATGAGTAGTCTTTGCTCACTGGTATTTATGTGTGGTTTTTCTGCCTTAGAAGAAGCCAGTTGTATCCTGCAACCAAGCGCAGGGTTAAATAAGTCTGGGAAGATGAGAGCCTTCTGTTGCCTACCTCTGAGGTGTCTTTAAAAAGCATTAAACTTCTAAACAAGTCTTTCAGAGTTGTCCTTATGAAGGATTTTATCTTATCTAGCCACAGGTGAAAGCTTGTAGCACCTACAATCAGCTGGTGATACTGTGATGAAGATGAGACTGTGGCTCATGTGGATGAATGTTTGAAAATCAGATTGATAAGAACATCATAAAGATGCGTTTTTTAATGCTTAGTGGTTTCAGACCTTTATTTTAGACATGAGACATCCCCTTCATAGTGGAAAGAAAGCACCTTTATAAACTAAGCATTTTATTTCAGAGGTAAAATATGAGAGGGTTTGTCTCCCAACTGCTAGAGCTGTGAAAGCTTCAGCTTCTGCTTTTTAAGGTGATAAACTCTAGAGAGATGACATATTCACACTGCCTGTGCTGACACTTAGGGTCTGTAGCCTGCCTGCTTTGTCTGTTCCACCTGAGAATCTCTAAGCACTGTGCATATTTCATCTTAACCTCCTGATACCTTGATAAGGGTAGAAAAGGTGCTATTAGCTGTCTCTTCCAGAGGGGAGACATAAGGAATTTAGTTAGTGTGTGATCAGTGCTGTGAGATGATCTGAGTGCATGCTTCACCCTGTTGCTGACTTTAACTACTTTTTTATACCGTTCGCCTTGTTGCCTCCTGATGTGTTCTGTACAGAGCAAGTCCAGTCGAGTGTTAGCTTTGGGCAAGGGGGTCGAGCCTCTAGAATTAAGTGACTCGTTCCATCTTCAGCAAACCACGCAAAACTAAACCCAAAAGCATAAACCTTTTCAGGTTTTACATTCTGTATTAAACCCACCAAAGCAATTTAATTACTATTTGTTACTTGATGGCCAGTCTGTTGCACTACCTGGGGTCAAGAGAGATGGAAAAGACACAAACTCTTGACATGAATGTATAGCCATGTGCAGAGAGATCATCTGGAGAGAAGGACCTGATTTTTTTTTTTTTTTTTTATGATTAGCTTTAAAATCAGCTTTACTGCTCTCATTCTCCATTCCCACCTTCCCCAAGTATATTTGTTTTTGTGCTTTCTTTCATTACAGATGTGAGACCTGAGGCTTAGATGTCAGAACAGTTACACCTATGTAACTGTCGGTAAAAGAGCAGTGATTGTTATTTTTTAAGGTATTACAGGGTTAAGTTGCAGGCCAAGGTTGCATGTGGAGACATCTTCATAGCTGCATTGCTTGGAGAAGTGGAAGAATAACCTTCCTTAGCTGGTTAGGCTATCTTCTGTAGATGTAATTTCTACTTTGCTGACATAACATCACTAACTTAGAGAAGTAGTGCAACTATCACAAAACAAACTGCTTTCGCCAGTACATTTACATCTCAGATGTGACCTGCAGAAAAGCAAATGGTTGCTGGTCTAGCTATTGCAGCCAGAGGCCATGATACGTGGTTAGCGAACTAGCATATCACAAAACCATTGTACCAATATCATGAGACAGTTTGACATTTCAGTTACACGCTAATAAAAGCAGCAAAACTCTCTAGGGCTGACAGCATGGGTAGTAACTTTAACCTCTGTATGTTGTCTAATGCAATGGGTTCAAGTTTCCGGATGCTGCTAGGGTAAGTGATGTACAGGATGGAGAAAGTGCCCATCTTAGCAAAGATCTGGCAATCCAGGATTCCCAGATACCTGGTGAGCACAGTGAACCTGTGTTGAGAGGTAAGATAAGCTCAAGCTCTTCCGTTTGCTTCAGCCACATTCAGAGCTCTCCTAGGTTTCTTCTATGGTGGCCATTCCAGGGCTGGAGGGGAGTATCCTGGCCATCTGAGCAGTCTGTCTCTGATAACAGAGCCACTTGGCCATACTTCTGGGCTATCTGATGTGCTCTGGGGAAAATATGACATGGCTGCAAGAGCAAATATTCCTGCTCCCTACTTCCACAATACCTCTGCTTCCCTGACATCTGCTTGCCTTTGGGCATCCGTGATTTCTTTCCAGTAACATCAGGCTTAAAAATGAAATAAACCAATTTGGTAGGGCAGGACCTTGGCATCTGCCTACATGGTGTCCTTCAAAATAGCTCTGAAGAGCTGCTTTTGTCCTTTAACTTTCTTTCTTTTTTTTTTTTTTTTCTGTCTCGTAATTGGAAGTGAGCAAAAAAGAGCCACTGGGCGGCTTGTATCTTGCAGTGGACACATCAGCTGGGGCCTCCATCTGGAGTTGCATCAAAGGGAGTACTAATCAGTCCAGCTTAATAGAGATACCTGGTTGTCCTAGAGAGCAACAGGGAAGTCATGAGCAGCTGGATACCATCCTGATGGCAGCGGAAACCAGAGTGCTTTAACCATGCTGACCCCATTAGTCTCTTGACCTTTCTCAACTGACTGACTTAGATATGTAGCCAATGCAAGATATGCTGCTGTCTTTTTGTTTTCCCCTTCCCAAGGAGTGAGAAATGGCACAATTTACAGTAGGAAATGGTGTGCATTTCTTCACTAGCATGGCTTATCGAGTGAGAGACAGGAGGTGGGATTGGGAATCAGGGCACATCCAAACAAGTTTTCATTTCTGAGGAGTGGATTTTAATTTCTTGAAGGGCTGCTGCTGTATCTTCTGCTCTGCATGACTGTTGAAGCTTTTAATTTTACCTCTTTTTAAAGGCTTTGAATGGTTTCAGTCACTTTCTTAACATTTTATCAAAGTCAGTAAAATTCCTCCTTTGCTAGTTTCTTTAGGGCTGTCAAAACAGACTGCAGTTGTTGGTACAGGGATTTCTCCAAGGTCATATGTTTTTCACAAGCCCTTTTAATAACTGCGGTAACGTAAATGTGTTTGTTTTATGAAAAGTTCAAGCTTGCCATAGCCTTAATCCTCAGTGAGGGTAACTCTCTTTGTAGATAAGAGCTTTTAATATAGCCATTTGTACCACATAGGCATGTACTTTGCCCTTTCTCACACTTCTAACAAAACCCAGAAATTAATTTCTCCTCTGTACACTTAAGTTCCCTTTAATCCCATGGCGGGTGGTCAGTTGAGCAGACATCTGCCTCATCCCACACTGAGCACTGTGTTATCTTCTTCTGGATGTGGTGGGGTTTTTTTGTTTTTGTTACAGCACATGTCCCAGAAATTTATTGCATGCTACTGTGATATTATATATGGCATAATTTAGGCAGGAAGGGACCTTTTGAAGGTCTCTTGTCCAAACCTGACTTAGATCTGGCTGTTCAAGAGCTCTCTGGCCCCCAGCTCAGTGTTTCAGTGCCCTCATGGTGGAAACTAATTTTTCTCTTGCTGTTGAGTTGGGATTTCCTGTAAATCATCTACTTCAGCCCCTTGGATGTCTAGTAGTCTCCCTTGGACTCACTGCACTATGTTATTACTGCTCTTGTATGCTGGGGAGTCTAAAACTGGGTGCAGTGTTAAGATGCCTGCTCAGCACTGGTTAGAGGAGGGTCATTCCTTCCCTGAAAGCTTGATTACGTGTATGTAGACATGCTCACAAAGAAGTTAGTGAGTTTGAAAGGATGCCAGGAGAGAAAGTTCCTGCTGTGATGAGTTTATTTAGCTTGTATTGGGGTTTGACTTACTAAAAGACAATTTCTGTGATGGCTCCCGTGGCTACTGGTATCATCGTTCAGCGAATGAAGAGTAAATTTCTGTGTAGCTCCAAGCCTGGAGATGAGAGCTGTCTCCCGTGGGTGATGAGATGAGTGTCTCCTCAGTTTTGGCTCACTTTTTTTGTTTTTTTTTTCCCCCTCCTCTTTAAGACATCTAGACGAATGCCAGCATTTAGATGGGTCCAAACTGTAGTGCACTCTCTTTGTCTCTGTCTGGGTGAGTGAATTGCTGTTGTTAGGAGATGTTGGTATCAGAAGACAAGCAGGTAGGTAGGCTGCAGCTGCTATATTGATTTATTTGGCTTTCTAATTATTTTCACTAAGGCTGAGTCAGGATCTTTTAAGGCCTGACTTTCCAGCTATCCTTTTCTTTTTAAATTCTTTAATTACAGCCGTGAAGCAGTGAGTTCAGTATATTGTGTGTAGTGACCCGTTTTCTGTGCTGTTTTCAGGTAACCTTCATTGTAATTGGTCTGTGCCCTACCAGAATCACTGCATCCTCCTGCAGTGTCACCAGCTGAGCGTGTGCCAGAATGCCGGAGAACAAGACATCAAAAACATGCTTGGAGGTAACGCCACGCTTCAGGCTCCTGCGAAATCCAGGATCCTTTTGCTTTAAATGCCTGTGTCCAGACCTTGACTGGCTTTCAGCTGAGGGAGGTGGGTTGTGATGAGCCTGCAGGGGGATTCTGTAGGTAAAGTCCGTTCACTGGAAAAACTGTGTCACGAGCCTGGTAAGGGCTCTGGCACTTACATGTGCATGATGTGTCTTTGAGTAACTTCTGTAACTGTTTCTAGTAACAGTTTGTCTCCGTGTTGAAGATGTTCAAGCCATTTGCACTCCACATCTTGCCCTTTGGAAAACAAAAGCATAACAGATATATTTATATTTTTTAAGATAAAGGAAAATGTCTCGGCATTGTTTTTTTCTGAGAGTGCCAGGATTTTGTGCCAGAGGCAACAGGCTGCTTCTAAAATCAGAGCAGCCTTAGCAGCAACTGCTCATGGTGACTTTCCAGCACCAGGGTCTTCAGTTTTAATTAAGTGACACAATAACGCGATGGAGCTTGTTGGTAATTGGGGAATCAGTCTTCTAAAGTGTGTTTCAGGGGTTCACTGTACCTAAGTTTAAAAAAAAACCACGTTTGTTCATGGTTCTTTTGGGTCAGCAAAGGTTTCTCTGCAACGTAGCAGCCAGACCTTTGGTAAGCAGATGAGATTTATGTCACTATAAATTTAGATCACTAGTTGTGAAGGAAATTCTCCCAAAGTATGAAAGTGTAAGTGGAAATTTCCACTCAGTTTTGAGAGGTGAAAATTATGAATCTAAGCATGAAGGCTTTGTTGATGCTGTGTAACTTTGAAAGCATGAGTCGTCTTCTGAGGAGCGGCCATTCGTAATGCTGCTCCTGTTGATAACGTGCTTCTGCATTGTAGCTCTGTACTTCATTACCATCCTTTTGTGGAATTTATTCCCTGGTTGGGGAAATGCCAGAGGTGTGTGGAAAAAAAACCAAACCAAACCAAAAAAAACCACAACAAACCAAACAACAATAAAATAAGCCCAAAGGGATCATGTGCAATAGAGGCAGGGGTCTGAGTTTTCATGTTCTTGCTGAATTCATGACTGATGTATTCCAGTTGTATGTACTACATGTACTCCAGAATATGTGTTCTGGTTTGCATGTTGGGGGTATGGGATCAGATCTGAGCTTGAGAGTTTTATTCTCATGAAACTCGTTGGTTTTGTCTTTTTGAAGAAATCATCGGTGGGAAAAGGGAACCAGTCCTGTTTCACCACCAAAGCTATCCACAGAAAAAGGAGAGGATGGTGAATGCATGGGTTGACGGACACAATATGGAGAACCTGTTTTCCTCAGCTGCTCGGACTCACAAGATTCACTTGAGACATTTGCTTGGGATTGGGAGTGAAGATGCAACAAAAAATACAAGAACAACAATTGCAAGCAATGCTACTGCCACCACAGCGACCACCACCACTGCCACAGCCATAACAACAAACGCAGCTGTCCTCACTACAGCTCATGAGATAACTACCAAAGCCTCAAACACCCCTGGACGTTCTGGTCTCCTTGCTGAAACCACATCATCCGCTGCCTCTTCTCCCACTTCTGGTAACATCCCTGCTTCCACTTCCAGCCATGTCACCACCAAAAAATCAGGAAGTAGTATCTCGGTCTCAGTATTGTCCCCCACTTCTACTTCTGTTCTCACAGTTGTTTCTGAAGCAGGTACTCAGATGCCTCAAACAGAGCAGTTTAACCCAGCCACCACCACCACCAGCACTCCTGGCTCTAGTAGCCCCCCTACTGTTGGATCTGGCTCAAAGACACTGAACACAACATTGACCACCCTCATCCTGCTGGATTCAGGAACATCTACCACTACTTCCACTCATACTATGGCACTCACCCCCTTGGAGAGTTCACGTGCTGTGAATCCAGAGTCTGCTGTTACAGTGCCACATCTAGAGCTAGAAACAAGTACAGCCACAACATCCTTGAGTAGATCAACCTCTCTTCTGGGCTCTACAAGAGGTACCATGGTTTTAACTCCTGCCTCTAAAGCAGAAACTACAACTGGGAATGGGGTAAAGTCAACATCTCACACTTTCTCAACAATCACAGCTCCAGCAGATGCACCCAAAACAACAGCTTTGGGCCTTGCAGACACTCAGGACACAGACAATGACTATCTTCTCATTGCTGCTGAGCCCCTCACTCAGTACTTAGTGGATAAGAGTTCGCTTCTTGCAGTGCTTTTAGTTGGTATGTTTTTTTTCATAACTGTTATAGTTCTTTTTCTTATGCAGGCCTATGAGAGCTACAAAAAGAAGGATTACACACAAGTGGATTACCTGATCAATGGAATGTATGTAGACTCGGAGATGTGAAAGGGTGGGAATAAAACAGCAGGCAGAGAGATGGAAAGGACATTGAAAACCTGCCTCACTTGTTTTTCTTTCCTATTTGCCTGTAACACAAACTGAAGTGCTTCCAAATTTACTTCTGGTGCAATTGAGGAGAAATGCCATGTTCTGTATTAAGAAAAAATGAATATTTTTTATTCAACCGTGCAACAGGTTGCTGTAAAAAACACAAAACCAAAAACCAACCAAACAAAAAAACCCCACACTTTTAAAACTTTCATAATGCACAGTAGCTTTGGCCATTATTTTTTGTTGCAAAACAAACCTAACAAGGGGTAAGCCATCATCCTTGGAAAATACTGTGGCGCTTTGTCAACTATTTACAGTGGAAGTTCCTTGTGTTTCGTTCGTTTCACCTGTGCTCCTCTGAAAACAGAGCGAAGGTTGCTCTCACCTTTTGCAAAGTGCTCTGAAATTGCCAGATGCCAAGTGTACAGTATTGCTGCAACAGGGAACTTTTTAATCCAACATGTGTCATGTTTTAGTATGCTTCTTGCTTGCAAAGAGGTCTGTTTACAAGGCATTGTAACTTTGTTTACTGCTAAACCAAGATGTCTTCTCATCATGGGGCAGATTACTGTGCCTCTGCACTTAAATGATCATATTTTTGTATTCACTTAATAAATGGGGCCCTGGAAGGGCATATCTTGCTGTATGTCTGTTTTCATTCCTGTTCCTGTCAGTTGGGAAACAGGCAAGTGGGCTTTTGAGGCTTAAACAAATTAGCTCTGCTTCAATATTCCAAGTATAGGGGCTTTGAAGACTGGAAGTATGGACATGTCACAAAACATGCTGACCATCTTCTTTCCAGGTTACTGCTTCCATAATTTCAGAGCAGTATGACATCAGTCTCCCAGGTATGCGGACCCGTTCACTATTTCTTATCTTTTCTGCATAGAGCATCAGGCTGTTTTGGTTTTTGTTTTGCATCTAGGACCAGCTCAGAGTTACTAGCAATTTGGAAGCCTTATTGCACATGCAGTTGCAGCTTACCTCCTGAGATCTGTAGCTGAGAGAGTGAGTAGAAAACCCTTGATTTTTGGCAAGTATTCTTCAGTGATTAATGCATCTTATTTGAATGACACGCACATACCTATAGCAAAATGTTAGATCAAAGTGCATTGTATTTTTTTTTTAATCCAGATTGATAGCTCATCTTTCAGTTTGAATTCAGTTGGCTCTTCTTTAGTCCTGCTTGCATGTAATCTTGAGCCTCATAACAGGTGAACCTCAGAATTTGAGCTCTTGGGTTTTGGTTTCATTGTTTCATCTAAATTCTTTGCTGTTTAGAATTTGGAGGGAGTCTTTAGGGTGGAAGAGGTTACTTTGTAGACTTCTTGCTCATCCTCATGCTGAAAGTGCTATAAACCAGCTGCGAGTAGCACAAGCAGCAGCAGAGGCAAGGGGTTGTTTGAAAGAAACAGGCAGGAGTTTGTTTCCTGAATCTTAACACAAATTTTGAGGACAAAATTTCAGCAAGTACAGTATGTTGAGGAAAGGAAAGAGATTGCTTTGGAAGTGAGATGACTTGGTTGTCAGCATCAGGTTGCATTTTACAGTGCTTTTGCATGGACTGCATCCGCATGCCAGTAGGTTAGAGCATCTCTCAGGGTAAAAGGATAGTGTGGTTGTGGGAGTCTCCCTCCTTGGAAGGCTTGAAGTATAAGCCACAAAATTCACATGACATTTCCTGAAGGGGGTGAAAAAAATACATTGAGGGACTGAATTTTGTTGTATTTTAAGGTTATTTGTAATTTGTTTGTCCTCAGCAGAAGGGAACTGAACTCTGATCTCTGCCACCTTCTGGGAGCTCCCATGTGCAGTAGCTGTGCAACAAGGTGTTGGGAACATCCCCCAGTGTAGCTGGGGAGTTGCACCCCTTTGAGATGCTTGGGACTGTTTGCTTCTCAGTACAACTGTTCTGAGCTGTTAGTAGGTGTCAGGCAGATGTTGCTTTACAACCACAAAGTCCAGAGACCTATCTTTACATAGAGATCTCAGATTTCACCTTCGTTCCAGGTGAGTCACTAACCACAGACCTAAGTATGTGGTCTTCAAGCTTGACTCCCTGATACTGAGATAAGAGCTTTCTCCTCCACTCCCTGGCATCTCCCAAGTAAGGAGATGGGTGTTACCTCTACCTCAGGTTCAGCTCACTTCTTTTTCTTCTCATTTAGGCATCTCAGATAAATGCTTGCATTTTGATAGGGTGGTTCCAGGAAATAGTGCTCTTCCTTGTAATTTATCCCTGCCTGTGTAAGTGAATTCCTGTCTGTACGAAGTGCCTTCCTGCATAAAGGGTCAGTGTTGCAGCTGTTCTGCTCATGCTCTGCAGTGTGTACTTTTTTTTTTTCCAAGTTGCCTGAGCCATTTCCACAAAGGCAAACTATGACTTGTAATTGCTTATCCTAGAAAGGGGGACATTTTTGAATGAACTTTGCACTAACTGTGGCCTTGTTTCCTTTGGTCTCTGTGGATCTCTTCATAGACCCAAAGTTGGACGCCAAATTCTGTGGAGTGGAGTGGAAGCTTGTGAAGTTGCATTGGTTTTTATTCTCTTCTTTGAAAAGGTGTTAGACTCCTGTACTGATTTCTTGGAGAGAGTAGGAGGGGAAAGGAGAGAAAGGGGGCATTGCTTTAAACAAAACTCTGAA